ACTTGCTTTTCTTATTTTATCTTGCCCTGTGTGTCAACCAATGGTCTGATATAGCTCTTCTACAGATTATTTTGGCAAGAGAGTATTTGAATGATGTCACAATCAGTAAAGATAAACTAAGAAGATAACAATGACCAAGAATTTAATATCGAAATCATATTCGGGGGGACTCGAGGCACCCAGGGGTGGGTGGGTGGGGGCATTGGGGCAGGGCACCTCGAGGCTAGGGGGGCTTGGGGCACGACGCCTTGAGGCGGGGGGCTAAGGTGCCTCGAGGACGGCGCCTTGAGGTCGGGGGGTTGGGAGGCCTCGGGGAACGGCGCCTCAAGGTCGGAGAGGGGCTCGGGCAATGGTGCTTTGAGGCCGAGAGAGGTGCGGGGCTGAGGGGCAGGTCGCCTTGATGCCAGGGGGGCTCGAGTCTTGGCGCCTCGAAGCCGGGGGGTGGGGGCCTCGGGGCAGGTTGCCTCGAGGCCCGGGTGAGGGTGGGGTGTTGTTCGATTCTATTTGGTTAATCCATCATTTCATCTACAATGTAGATCATTTTTAATATAACTTTATTTATCGTCTGATTTATCGCCTATATATTTTGCATTTATTAGCTTCTGTGTGACACCCTGATTGTTTCGAACACATCAAATATTGTATTCTAAATTGGTGAACATTTGATTAATTTGTGTATGAAAGATATGTAAAAACTTATTCATATCGAGTGTTTACGCCCATGCGATTTGAAACCCATTACGATGGCCTCTTAACAATAATAGCTTGGGAAAAAATAGAGTAAATCCCATTTCACAACACATATTTTTTATAAAAAGACATCACGACACGAAATGGATGCGACAAGCAACACAAGTACATGCTTGCACCACAAGTCACTTGCTAACGGAACAACACCCCATAACAACGCAAATCATCGAAATAAATCAAAAGATATCAGCTTTAAATTAAAGCCTACCCATCTTGAGTTCTTTTCAATTAATTTCACTATGGGGTCTCTCATACAGGGTATTATGGTTGTAACTATCCATAGCGATTGGATGGGTTGTTATTCTTATTATGCTTATATAGCTATTTAGTCATCAAAGTGGCCAAACTAAAATGTTCAAAAATAGAATTAATGTGCATTGATTTAAAATTGCTTATCCAAAATAACTCTATTGTCATTAATAACCTAAAATGATCATTCATCTGAGTTTGTTGTCAGATAGGAGCATACATACCATCTAAGATTTGCAAATCAACAGCATGTAACAATTATGCATAAAGGAGAACAAAAATTTGCAAAACAGAATATACTTCACTAGACAACTGGATTACCTCAACATGAAATGGTATGAGAACCATTTGAGCAAGAGCTAAAGTCAACCACGACGCAGCAGAATGTCCATTGAAGTTGATATAGTTACAACACAGAGAGACGAGCTCCCACAAAACTTATACATGATTAATTGAGCAAGAGCAACTCCTAAACATTTGACAAGTAAAGTGTACATGCTAGGTGTATAAGGGATAACAGATCAATGCTCATGTATGAAGCAAATTGGGATTTCCACATATACACATTTTTTAGAGCCTACCAGACAGATATATATATAGTCATGAGAATTTAGTATAATTTCTTTCCATGTAACTTTATGTACTATTTGCACGAGCTCCGTCGCCCTCACATTTTTTAGTATTACAATTCCTTGTTTGGTCCTACATTCAATATTCATAAAGTCTTATGATATTGTTCTAACCGGTCTGTAATGTTGTTTCCAGTCTACTAGCATATTTGATTTATCATCACGGGATTATAAACAAATCTCAAGGTCAATCTGAAACCTTTTCCCTTTTTCGTTTGAGGGGTACACACTACAATAAATACATACATTAACAACGAGTGCTTATAAAGTCTTTACTGATATTAATTAATTGTCATTAGATTCAATGTCGCTATAGACTTTAGGAATAGGGACACATGAGCTTGGATTCATTGTTGAAGTCCAGTGAGCATGATAACTGCAAATGTGTAGTTATACTAATTTTGAGATGTTTTTCATGTGCATTTTTTAGTAACAAAATTATTTATTTCCAGAATAAAATTACTCTTGTATAGTGGACTTTGTACATTCTTAAGAATAATAAACGAAGTGTATATTTTATCATAATATTATTCCTATTAATTAGTTGGTGTATAGTTAATAGTTAATTTACTTGAAAAATACTTTGAGATGTGTAGTTAATGTTGCTTAACAAAATACATGACTGAGTTAACGATAGAGTGGAAGTTTGACAACAAATCTTAGTGTCTAAGGATTTTAAGTCGAGAAAGAGTAAGACAAAGAAATTTGAATGCAAGTTTAGTAATGCAATTCACGAGGCATGACATGAAAACGAGGTTTGATACACAAGTCATCCTTAAAGGGAGTTTCAAAAATCTTGGGTTGATAAGAAAATATGGAGATTGACGAGGATGTATTTATGTTTCACTGATTTTCTTGGGTCAAATTTATTTATGTTTCACTGATTTTCTTGTAAAATTTATTATAGATTTCCCATTTTTAATAATTTTTTCTTTACACTAAAGAATGAAATAAAAAAAGAATAAGAAACTCGAATAATAATAATCAAAGAAGTCAAAAATAACTTTTGTATGAAAAAGATTAAAATATATCTTGAACTTTGTTAAAAGGATCATATATATATACCCCTACATGAATTTTACCCACCATTATGTCTTCATTCTCTCCATATTTGACTTTCTCCTAGCTCTTAGCATAAAGTGTTTGAAGGGTGATTTTGTCATTTAAAAGATTTATCCCATGACAAATTATAATGGGATTATTATACTATTCAAAGAGAGGTCGGATAACTTATTCCGATACTAATTGTTAATTTTGAAATAAGTTATTTTGGACTTGCCAATCAAACAACAAATTATGCGTCACTATAATTTAATCTCATGACTATTTGGTATAATCCTTCACACCAAATGATCCCTTTGGGATAAATTATCTCACACTTTGTAACCGAATAAAGAATTAAGAGGTACTTTAAATTTATCCCAAAATTATTTTTTCTTATCCATCACACCAGACGATCCCTTAAACTATTGAGAGTGAATAATGTCATGTTTCATAGTAGACTTTTCACATATCATAATACACTCTTACTACTCTAATTAGTTACAAGGAACCAATCAAACACTAAAGAATCTCATTTATTACAAAATGACAAAAGTATCAACTTCAAAAGTAGAACTTTCAAAAAACTGAACTATCACTATTTCGCAAATTTCATATAGGCTATTTCTTCTTCTTATTTGAAAAATTGTTCCTTTTTTTTTAATCTAAATTATCACCATCTTCTTAATTAGGTGTGTTTGGATACATAAATGAAGAAAGTTCATATAAAAAAAAATGATAATTAAAGTGTGAAATCTATGAAAAAAAAATTTAGATGAGTTTTTGACCATTATTTCTAAAAATTTGGTAGGTGATGGAGATATTAATAACAGGACAAAAATAAACTAATCACATCTTTTTCAAAACTTATTTTTTCCAATACTATTGCAAACACCTGTATCTAATTTTCTATTAAAAAACACAATGGAGACTTGTCATATTCCAATTTCACATTGCCCACTCACATTTATATCACTAAAAATTTGTTGGAAAATTAAAAAAATGGAAAGAAGTCCAAAAGTAAAAGTTAAAGTAAAAGTAAGCTTCTTTGAATTTTCTTAATATTTAGAATGCATTGAATCTGACTATTTTAAATTTGCATCACTTAGAACTTATAATTAGAGGGGGGTGTGCTTCTTGTGACCGTTTATCAGTTTGTATAGCTTGAATTCAAAAGACTTAAACCTCTGATTAAGAATCTCATTCTTCATAATACATTTGTTTATGGCATGTAATGCATTGGACCCAACTAATTCAAGTTTGTATCACATAGAACCTATTTGAGGAAAATACTCTTTTTATCAATAGTTACTCAATCAATACCTCTAATTAAGAGTTGAGAGATCATTAATGAATATCTTAATCAATATTTTACTACTCTAATTATTGCATTGATAATGTTTGATAAATTATCACATGTGACGTGGTCATCTTGTTAACCTTTAATATTTATTCATGTTTTTGTCATACACGTGTCGATAATCTGACGGTATTTGCTTGGTTCTTAATGCTTAAAATGAAAACGACATAAAGCACTGAGTTTATTTGTAGCCAATGAGATTCATCCACGTGGTGATGCGTGTGACACGTGTTAGATTTTATATGGTCCCACTACTAAATAGAATCCTCTTTTGCCGACACTACCTAAAGTGATTCTTTTGCAATTAAGTCCCTATAGTTTAGTGTGTCTTATAGATTTGGTCCTTCTTCTTGTCATATAATACATAACATAGATAGACGGAATCTTAACTTAAGCAATTCTTCTTATTCTTTTTCTTAACTTAATTTGATTTAAGTTGGCCTCGTAAATACCTCAATTTTGAGAATGTACACTCGAAAAAGTGTGATAAGGAGAGCAAGCAAGTTAAGATGTCTAAACATACATTTTGAAAGTTAGGATGTTTGGTTACTACGATAAGATCATATTAAGATGTTTATCTATCTATGTACCATATCATTCCGGATATATGTTTGAATTCCTTATATAATTTTCTGACTGTGTTAATTCAGGAAATACTTTAAATATCAAAAGATAAGGGAGTAACATGAAACTTCATGCTAAAAAAAAAAGAGGAAAAATAAATTGTATAGTCGTGTATTAAAATAATAGTCAATATATATATTATTGTATCATATACATAAAATATGTATATTTTAATTTTAAAATAATGTATATCTTTTGTATATTATAGAATGTAATTATGGTAAACCCCAAAAAAAAATCATCATAATCAGCACTAATTAATAACATTTTTTTCTAGTTTTATACTTCTTACTTTATTTAGCTTTATCTGTGAATTATGGGAATTGGGAACCATAGTATTTATTTCTTGAACTTTCCTCATATATTACTCAATTACTACTATACTCCAACGTGCATGTGTGGTTCATATCACTTTGACCATATTTTCTTTGATTAAACTATAGTCCAAAAAAATAATAATCAAGATGATGTTGCCCTTTTCTCCCTTTTATTTTTCACCCTTCCATTTTCCTTTTCTCCTTCATCCACTTGTATGATCATTCTACCAAATATACACTAAAAACCTTACAAAATCCCTATAGAAATTAAGAAATCAACAAAAACCTTGTCATGTCTAATGATCAAAGAGCTCTAGTCCTATCAAGCAACAACAATAATAGAGACAACAATCATGAAGATCATCAGGATCAAGATCAAGATCAGAATCAGAATCATCGAGATGATCATATCAGAGATATCCACACTATGTCACCACCACAACCACCAGTACCACCAATCATGATGAATATTAATCGTGCAGGACGAAGAAGGGAAGCTTGGGAAACAAGTAGTCATAGATCATCATCTTTGTCCTCAGAGTTAGGAGGAGTTCCAAGTGAGAATTTCACAACCATGAGTAGAGAGTTCAATGCTTTGGTACTTGCTGGATCTTCTACCGACAACAACAACAATAATAATGGTACAAGTCATGAAGTTGAAGGTACAATCAATAATAATTTAGGAAGGATTTTCGAAGAGGAGACTATAGTCGAAGAAAATAATTCTTTAGCTATTGTAGCAGATAATACGAATAATAATAATAATAATAATAATTACAACAATAATAATGCTTATTTAAACCCTAGTACTCCTTCTCCTAACAATAATTTGAGTGAAATTAGTCAACAAGGAGAAGTGATTGTACATAGAGTGAAGAAAGAGGAAGTTGAATCAAAGATTAGTGCATGGCAAACTGCAAAAATTGCAAAGATTAATAATAGGTTTAAGTGTGAAGATGCTGTGATTAATGGATGGGAAAATGAAGAAGTTCAAAAGGCTACTTCATGGATGAAGAAAGTGGAGGTATGTATTCTCATCCGTTCATATTATCTGTCTTTTAAGATTTTCGTACACGTTATAATGGAATCTATGATTTGAAGTATCATTTGTGATTATTCGGGATTGTAATTTTCTTGAAGTTATTGCGTTCTAATATTTGATAATTTTAATTACATACTAGCTAATTGAATTTTTAAAACAAATATAATGTTTAAGCAAAATCTACTCAGGTCTATCGAACTCATGTATATCTGACTGCTTAAGAGTGTTTTGTCTAAATATTCATTGATTATTCCTTAAAAGTCTCACTTACTTAACATTCCGCAAATTAAAACATTAAGAATATATTTGAAAGAACAACAATAAATGGATTCCTACTTATCCAAAATATCAAATATTTTGAAATATTTGCATTTATGCTAGTACAAATTTAAACTTTTATCTATTGTTTACCAACCTCAATCTTTTTTTTAATTATTATTATTATTGAATATATTGAAATGATGAGTCATTTGAGTTTAACCTAGCTACCATATATTAGGGGACAAACATAGTGGAATACACTTGAAAAAAGTGAAAATTTTCTTGGTTTAGTGAGTTAGTTATACAACTATAAATGATTTATTTGCTCAAGTAATCACTCAAAGTGGGAAAAATAGTGAATCAAATCCTTCAATGAGTCATGAATGCACAACTCCAAATTGCTTTTGCTTTTCTTTATTTTTTCCCTCTTCTGCCCCCTCCCCCCCAAACCCCACTTTCCCCAAAAAAAGAAGAAAATGATTTTTTTTTGGTTCCCTTGCCCCTATTCTAAGGTTAGTGTTTGGGACCATAATGTTAAATAGTTTTTCTAATAATAATGATATTTGTATCGATTTACGTGCATTTTAATTTATTTCATTTATTACTTATTATTTTTCAGCAACATAAGTATAGAGCAACTTTATGTCTCTATCTACCAAATATTAGGCAGATGACATGAAACACCTATTATATGCTTTGGGATGGTGAAAGGAGGTGTAGATCACCTTGATGTGGTAGCCTATTGATTCAATCCTAGTTAAATTCAGCAACGGAAATACTCTTATATATAGTCATAAATATCATGACACGTGTTAGACAACAAATTTTAGGATATTTTTAGTATCCGTCAAAATTTTGTGCGCAATCAAACAATATAGTGACATTGTTTGTTTTTTTTTTTCATCAGAGGAAGTTAGAAGAGAAAAGAGCAAAAGCACTAGAAAAGATGCAAAATGATATAGCAAATGCAAGAAGAAAAGCAGAGGAAAGAAAGGCATCAGCAGAAGCAAAAAGAGGAACAAAAGTAGCTAGAGTTGTTGAATTAGCCAATTTGATGAGAGCTGTTGGTAGAGCTCCAACAAAACGTTCCTTCTTTTAAATTTACATAAGAAGTATATAAAAAAAGGTGTGCATGTTAGATAATTGCTACTTTGTGTTTTGTTATATCGAGGTGTTTATACTTAAAGTGATGGATTCAGAATTTAAATAATGTGAATTCTGAGTAGAGAGAGTGTGTTTTGAAATGTATATATAGCTCTCCTATCGGTTCATTTTGGTTTTATCGACGAATTATCTTTCTTATGGAAGGAAGAGAATCTTGAAGTACTAGGTTCTGTCAAACTCACAAACCCTATGGTTGGATTCTCCATTGATCTCTTAGAAAATCATGTTACATTATTTTCAAGTGTAATATTGGAGCACTCTAAGAGTTTGGTGAGTGAGTGAATGGTAGTATTGAAACATTTTGTATAGTTTTTTTTTTGGATGTTACTTAATATAAATATATAGTGTGTGTTAGGTAGAAATGCTACTTTGTGTTTGGTATATCTACTAGTTTTTCTTTAAGTTGACCGATTTAAAATTTAAATATCATCTGAGTTGAGAGAGTGTGTTTTGAAATGTATGCATAGCTCTTATGTTGGTTCATTTGGTTTTGTCAACAAATCGTCTTCCTTTTTGGAGGAAGAAGATCTTGAAGTATTAGGTTTTGTCGAACTCACAAACCCTATGATTGGATTCTCTATTGGTTTCTTACAACATTATATTATATATTTTCAAGTGTATTGTAGCACTCTAAGAGTATGGTGAGTGAGTGAATGGTAGTACAGAAACACTTGGTACAATTGTCTAGATGTTAAATTAAATAAATATATGGTGTGTTAGATAGAACTGCTATTATGTGTTTGTAAAAAAAGATCTAGTTTTTGTCTAAGTTTGACAAATTCAAAAAATATGGTGATTTCTGAGTTGAGAGAATGTGTTTTGAAATGTATATGTAATTTTTCTGACGGTTCATTCTGATTGTGTCGGTAAATCTTGTTCCTTATAGAAAAAATACTAAATTCTGCCAAACTCACAAACCATATGATTGGATCCAGTGGAATTACATTAAATATATTATCGTTATTTGCAATTTCATATTCTATAGACTTAGAAAACAGATACACTTATCATAAATTGATAATTAGGAACAATCAGACAAAGGAAGTGTGTAAAATAACAGAGTATTTTGGAAATTTGGATTAATCCCACTAATGCTTTACTTAATTTGTTAATAATACACAATGAGAAAACTTTGAACAAAAATAGAAAAAGAAAACAAAAGTGTGTAAAATAACACAAACGGAATTTTGTAGTTTTTAATTAATCCCACTAATGATTTACTTAATTTGTTAATGTCAAGATAATGCAAGAAAAAGTATTATACTATGCTGGGAATGATTAGAAAGGTGTTAGGTTCAAATTCCAGCGGAAACAAAATTGTACGTTATTTTTTTTATCTATTTAAGTCTAGATTGACAGAATTACTCATTACTCATTACTCATTACTCATGGTACATACATACTAGCCGTACACCAAGATTATCAAAAATAGGAAAAAGTTAGGAGAATAGGATAGTTTTTTTTTTAATTTTCCATCCGATATTTGATACCTGCATTGAAACTCGATCAAATTTAAATTTGCACATTTCAGGACTCATTTCTTAGGACACGTTCCCAACAATTTAATAATGAGTGATAGTAATGGTCCAGCCCAAAATGGCCCAACTGGCCCCAATCGAAGAGAAGCAAATGGGCTGAAATCATGGTACAACCCAATTACCGGCCCATTAAGTCCTTTTCGCTAGGTCCAAAAACTTTTCAAAAGATTTGATATGGTAGAAATCTCGCATTGAGCGTAGCGAATTATAAAGGAAAACTTTCAAAAATAGCAAGGAATTTAAACATAATGTGGTAAATATAGCTAATGTTTGCTAATTATATAACATAGTTATTCAGGTCACAATTTGTATATCTCGCTTGACTATTAAATATTTATACAAATAGGACTCTTATTTTAATTAATGATAGACGTTGCATTTTTTAAAAATTCGACAAATCAAGAAGAAAATCTCACAAATCAAGGAAAAAATCCTACAAATAACTCATTGTATTTATATCAATTGATTTTTATTTTACACGAAAATCATATTGAATTATATTTGTGTCGATTGATTTATGCAAATGCTAAAATTATACAAATAAGAGCTAAATGTGTACTTGCTTATAATATACTAATACGAACTACAACTTTTACACGTGGGTAAAAAATACATAGATATACAAATCAAATATATACAAAAACATTCACAAATAGAATGTATAAACAAACATTCGCAAATGTTGAACTTATACAATTAGGAACTATGATGTATACTTCTTGATTATATACAAATGCGAACTACAAAGATCAGTTATGCAGAATATGAGTTGCTATAATGCTATCTATATGTTTACGGTTGTTTGAGATATACAAACAAGGGTAAACTTATACAAATGTTGATATTGTATAAGTATAATAACTATATTGTATAATTTCTAGTGTATATAAATCTTAATCATAAAAATTCATATGTGGCTTAAAATTTATGTAGTATATACAAATGAGGTGGAATACAAACAAATTAAATGCTCATATACAAAAAAAAAAAAACAAAAAACTATTGAATTTAATGATACATATACAAATCAGACATAAAAAATATACAAACTAAAATATATAAATACCTCAAGATCTTCCCCATCTTGTTGGTCCATTGGCTCAGATTGAACATCTTTTTCTTTGGATGATTTCGATTCAAACCTTGTAGGTGTAATTTTTTCTACCTTACGCTTAGTGGCGGATTTCAAATTTTAAGATTGTGGGTGCTCCTTCAACAATCAATTATTAAATATAAGTGCACAAATTTAACATTTGTCTTAAGAAAGACAATCATATTTAAACATGATAATTAAAAAAGTCAATAAAAAAGAACTACAATAAAAATTATTTCGGATAAAGAAAAAAGAAAGAAGGAGAATTTTTTTTAATATAATTTTGTTTAGAAAAAGTTAGCAAAAGGGCCTAAAGGGAAAAAACAACAATCAGCATAGAGAAAAAAAAAACAAAATCAAATAAAAAATCAAATTGAAATAAATAAATAGAAAGAGGAGGGTTGGATTTGAAACTAAAATCTATTTGCAAAGAGGGAATCAAACCAAGGAATGAAGCAAGCTAACAACTTGCGCACCCACTTGTAACCACTACGCCAATCAATTCATTTGATACTTGCTTTAAGTTTTATATTTTATAAGTTATATAATTTCTATATAAGTTATATAATTCAATACGAGGTTAATGGGTGCTCGAGCATTCGAAAGGAATCATGTGGGTCCGCCCCTGCTTACGCTTGTTTTTTGAAATTAGAGCCTCATTTGAATTTTCTTCTTTTTGCTCCTCTCTTTTTTTGTTCTTATTTTTGGAATTAAAAACATGCAAAAGTTGATTTCTGATAGACACACAAAAATTGATTTTTTGAAATTGTGGGAGTACGATTTGTGAGAAAGGAAAAAAAAACATGTATTTTAACATTTAAAAATGAATTTGGGACTAGGTTTGGATGGTGAAACTTATACAAATTCAACATCATGTAAAAAGTGTGGAACTTATGCATGATTTGGGAGTACGATTGGATGGTTACTACTATTCTATTGCATTTTATCCTTTAAAACAGAATTTAATAAATGAAGAATGATTAGAAGGGAGAAAAGATATCTTTGAAATTTCAAAAAATTGATTATGATTGAATAAATTAAGGAGAAAAATAAGTGATATGTAAAATGAGAAAAAAAAACCTAACTTGTATAAATAAAATAAAAAACAGGCAAGAGATAAGGTAGTTATACGTTGATACAAATTGAGTTGATGGCCCCCACAAATTAATAACCATTCGAATTTAACATTAGTTGTGAATCAAAATTAGTTGTAATTATAGCAATATCAAATAAATCATTAAAGATAATTGCTTAGTTACGTAATTTTATCAATTACAAATCCTACTTGTTTCATCCTCAAATATTCTCACTAAATCCAATATAAAGAAAACATGTCATAATCATATATACATTCCGCTTGCTCAATTCCTATTCATTTTTTTTATGGACGTTCATTCTAAAAAAAAAAGGTTATAACACACTCTCAATAAATAAATAAATAAATAAATATATATATATATATATTCACGCAAACATATAATATTTATGTATGAATAGAGGTTAAAAACTTTAAAAAATTCAAGAAGTTGAGTACTCTTTATAAATGTCACAATTGATGGCTTATAGACTTTATTATTATGAAAAGGCAGAACGCATAAGCGGCCCCTTGAACTTGTAAGGATTTTTCGTATAGACACCTTAACAAGGACTCCTTCCTATTGAACACTTAACCACTCAAAAAGTGTACCTATCAAACACACCTGGCTGACTTGGCACTTATCGTGTGAGGCATTTGTTTTAAGGTGGAGCGCGTGACATTACACATCTCCTATGTGGAAAATCTAATCCTACGTGGTAATACACATCACAAAACACCCAACCCCTCAGTCATTTCTCTAAATCCCCAAAACGTGTTCCAAAAAACCCTAGATATTCTTTCAAGATTCCCGCTCAATATGTGGTCGATTCAAGAAAGTTGATCAATAATCTTCATGTTTTCATCCTACGGCGTGGTCGATTCAATAAAATAATTCTTGTTGTTGTGTTTTAGGGCAGATTCGAGAAAGCAAGGAGATTTTGTGTTAAATCTTGTGAAGTAAGTTCATTTTCGAATCTTTATGACTATTGCTATCAATTTCCCCTTTAAATATAGCGTCTCTTTTGTATATTACTACAGTGGTGATGTTTTGTACATATGTGAATAAAGTTTGAATTTTTTAGGGTTTCCTTGTCAGTATTTGTCGGGTTTATTTGACTTTTTTTCTAGGGAATCTTATGGATATTATTATAGTAACTTGCTTTCACCATGGTGGTAAATTTGTGGAAGACACATCTGGTGGAGGTCTCACTTACATAGGGGAAAGTGAAGT